CTTTCTACTGACTGCTGCTTCTACTACTTTAAAAACATTTTTGTTGAAGATTGTAAAGATAATGAAAATTCGGCTCTTTTACATTTAAATAAAATTTTAAATTCTAATAAGAAATCTTGGGAGGAGTTTGGTTTACCAGAACTAATTAAACATACAAAAGAAAATTCAGTTAATCACACAATCGAAAGTGAAACGTACAAAGCAAAATTTTGTGAAATGTTTTTGAAAATAAATAATGATCAAAAACTTTTTTTTGAAAAAGTTACCACATTTAAAAACAAAATATTTTTCATTAACAGTCCTCGTGGTTCTGCTAAAAATTTTTTATATAAAACGTAAATATATTATTTTATTTCGATAAAAAAAATTTTTATCTATGGCTTGAACAGGGATAGCTTCGATTTTATTACAAAAAGGAATGACGAACCACAGAACTTTTAGATTGCCATTGAATTTAAATTCAATTGAAAGTGCTTTTTTGGGATTACAATTTGATAAAAAAAATTACAACTAGTTGATGTCATGATTTAGGACGGAGCTTTTATGATACCAAAAAAAGCCTTAGAAATAGTCGACAGAACTCTAAGAGATTTGTGTAATGCAAACACACCGTTTGAAAATAAATTAATAATTTTAGGAGGTAATTTTGGTCAAATTAAATCAGTAGTCAAATATGGTAATAAACTTAACACAACAGCAGATGACTACTAGAGGAAATGTAGGTTAGGCCTTGTGGGAGAAATTAAATCCTAAATTTTTTTTCGTGGTAGAAAAGGTGGTAAACATAAAAAGTTAGTGGATTAAATATTTTCAACCTAACAAGATTTAGGTTGTTTTTTTTTCATACGATAAAATTGTTTATTAAGGCTAAAACCATTTCTTCAAAAGTACGAACTACAGTTAACCCTATATTGAGCTACTTGTATTGTTGCTGCTGTTGTCACTGTTGCCACTGGCTCAGAGGTAAACAAACAGCTTGATGTTAGGTTTAACTGTACTTCGTACTTTTAAAAAGATGTTTTTGTCTTTAGGAAACGACTTCATCGTAAGAAAAAAATAACAACCTAACTCTCATAAGGTTAAAAATATTAAATCCAATAACTTTCTATGTTTAACACCTTTTCCACCACAAAAAAAAAAATAAAAACCTAATTTGTTCCATTAGGCCTGTATCACTTTTCTTCTAGTAGTCATACATACATCGCAATGTCACGTGGTACAGGCATATTCTCAATATCTGTATAGGCAGTGCCATGTTTGGAAGAGATGGATATAAACATACTCTCTGTTATGGAGGCTCTTTTCTCTAACGCCTTCTGAACTGAGCTTGCCAATTAAATAGCCCTATTGATATACTGATATACTTCAATTCTGTATGCACGAGTCGAAAAAGCGACTTAGCCAATGCGCCAGTATGGTTCATCTGTTGGTACAAATAGTTTTGCGATATGACGCATCATATTATGACAGGTCACATGGCAGTCATATTACCAGTGATTTATTGACCAAGTTTTTGTATGACTAACTCTAAATTTCTTAGTAAGTCCAAAGTATATAGAACGGCTGCTACTATATAAAATAGCTGTAACTATATAGAACGGAGATAAAATTTTTGTCTGGGGTCTATCATTATTATAGCACAGCTCAACTACTGCATTCGAAAATACTTTAAAATACATGGACCTGCTGATGGACTGTCGAATACTGGCTGGCAAATATTAATGTATAGACAGATGCAGGCTATAGTACCTACCATAACATAACTTACGGTATATGTACGTATATAGCTGATACCTTAGTTGTCTTTGTTTTACGCCAGTGAATACTGAATAAAAGCAAGAATAATGTTGAATCTAAAAAAATAATTTAGTTCTCCTAATACAAATTTAAAAAAATGTATTTTAAAGACTAGTAGATTTTATGATAATAAATTGTTTATAAAGTAATACGTAATGCGATAGTTTTCTTGTCCAATTCTTAATAATTTTTAAACTATTCTTCCCTTTATATCTTATGACAAAATTCACGACCACAATATTTCATGACAAACACATACTAGTCACAATTCGGTATGTCATAAGTTTTTTCATGACGCGTAAGATCGCAACTCTAGGTGCAAAGCAAGTAATGAACATGTAACGCCACTTACAAAGCTACAGCAACCACAACTTTTTTCAGTATGTCTACGTTAAACTATTTTGTACTTAGTATTAGAGTTCTTCAAGGTGAGGGTAAAGATTATGCCATGAAAGAGTAATTTTGATACGAATGTTAATTCAGGACCTCGGAATACATGGGAAATGTTGGCTTATGCATGGCATACCCTACCACTTTTTTCAAGTCCCGTGTTATCAATAACGTTCTCTTGCTATTTTTCTGATAAATAAACTAAACCTGAATTTTAAAAGGAATCAAATATTAATGAATAGAGATGCATTTTTATTTGTAAATTACCAGAATAATTATGCTAAAAAACATGTAGAGAGGAAACTTTAACTTGTTGCCTAGTTGCAAAAATTTAGTTTTTTTTTTAACTTACAGAAAGATCAAGAATGTTTCTAACTTTCCCGTAACCAATGTACGTTTTATTTTATTTGTTTGTATACTAATAAAAATATCAGCAGTAGATGGACGCCGATTTCCGAACTCAAATTTTATCTAATAGAAGGTGCAGATAAGTAGATTAAAACTACTTAAGAAAAAAGCATAATTTGATCTAAAAACCATATAAGCAGTGCCCGTGCAGTATACCAGATTATTGTTAATTTTTCTGTTCTATAATTTTATAAAATATAGCATCTTGATATTTACTATTATCAATAAAAAATATTTTCCCTAGAATAAAAATACTTTAATTCAAAGTAAAAATTTCATATCAAATTAATCGGACACGTTTGAGCAAAATATAAAATATTTTTTTAATTTGAAACAGAAAAAATAGTTGAAAAGAAGGACTCATGCTGATTTGCTAGCAGTGGTGTTAATTTGTTCTTTATTTCAAAAAATTTGCATTTTTATTGAACATTTTATCTTGCAAGCTTTACGTAACTCTTTAAAATACTTTCAGCTGGATGATGTTAGGTAACAACATTTTTTTTTAACTATAACTATGATACAAAAATGTGTATGAATGTATGCCGATATATGTTTAATTTTTTACAGGCACTCCCTAGCATTTAATAAATGAATATTTAAGGTAACGTTAAAAGAAGCCTTTGAGTTTATAAATTAGCCACTTTTTTTTACTTCAGTCTAAAACGTCCAAAATTATTGAATCATTGCATAAGAAAGTCGCATATCGGTAGACCACAATTAAAGAGATTTAGAATACTCTTAACGATTATGTAATCTACAACTAATTATTGTATATAGTAGGATGCAATAAAACAACTGACTAACCTTGGTTCACTTTCTCGTTTTTCTTCTTCTTTACTCCAAACTTTCAAAAAATATAGAAGCAGGTATCCTATTTTCGACTTTATTAATAACAACTCAACTAAAAATCTTGAAAGCAGTTTTTTTCTACCATCATCTTCTTTGCATAGCTGAAATTGATTTCTAAACATTACAAAGAGCGGTGTGCTAATGCTATCCATATAAAATTCGTCGTTTTGACTCTCTCCTGGAAAAATTTCTTCATCTATTTGTACTGATAATGCGTTGGAAAGATAAGATGCTGCCAATGGAATAATCTCTGTATCGATTTCATCTTCTACAATCATTTGTACTATTTTTTCCATAAGCTGACATCTGATTTCATTGTCAGATTCTACAATTAAATTTTCAACAACAGATTTTAACTTATCTGGCTCTAAATTAATACCTATTGTTACGATGTCATCTCTATTTATATAATTAACATGTTTCAAGGTACTTTTCCTTAATTCCAATGAGTCTAAAGAAGCTTCTTTTTTTTCAATTGCCCTGAAAAAAAGATTTAAGCATAAACTTATAATGTCAATGTATAACTTCTTATATACTACCTTAATGTCACGTCTTCTTCTTCATCACTAAATGATGGCTCCACTGTTAGCCCAGTGTGATTATTTTCGTCAACATTTACTGCACTCTCAAATATGTGTTCAGAACTTATTTCTTTATTAAGCTCATCTATTTTGCCTTGAAGAATAATCTTTATGTTATAAAAGATATTGTACTCAATAGGTACACATAAACATATCTCTACTATTAAATTATTTAACATTTTTTTCCATACGCTACGTTTCATCTTATCCCACACCATTATCTGGTTTACTAGACGCACTATAAACAATCTCAACTAAATTTGAAAAGTATTGTACATACAAACTTACTGTCATAAGTCAATCCAACATTCAATATAACAAGTGACAATTTTTTCTTGGCAAGTAACAAAAAGCCGCTCAGTATGTATTGACAGACCCAAAATTTTTTTGGGTAAAGTGCAACTGTAGATTAACGGCTGTTAAACATGTAATATTTGAGTTCTGATGACAACAAATTGTACGAATGAACGCACATCTTCAAAATTAAAATAAATTTAAAATCGATTAAGAACTCTTCTGAAGCAAAATTGGATCAATAGTCGCTGACGATTATAAAATGAGATTTACTGAAATAAATATTAGCTACGATAATATAATCAAAGATTTTGCGCAAAAAAATCGCGAAAAATATTTACGTAATTTACATTGTTCACTGGCTTAATTTTTCATGGTATGTAATTTCATAAAATAAATAGATCATTAAAAATTATTTCCAAACTACGTTTGTGTTATTTTTTAACAATTTGACAAATAGCTCTCCTTACATAGGCGCCTTTTAACATTTGCCTAAGGCCTCACATATAAGTAATCTAGCGTTGAGTCCGCCAAACTACAAATCAGGTAGCTAAGCTCATGATAAGCTAAATTAATGGTTCAAAATTTAAACTGACACGACCTTTGCCCAAAAATTGAACCAACATTTAGGGCTGCAACTTACAGTGTCTCCTTCAGTAATAAGGGTACTCTTTTTTCAGAGACTGTCATGTATATGTAATTCAAGGGGCGGCCCAATTAACAACTCTGTTAAATCAGTAAACGTGCAAAAATTGAAATTATTGTGAAGGTGAGAGGGGTGGATCATGAGTCGGCTTTTAAAATAAAAAATATTAAAAATACATTCTATAATAATACTTTTTATAAAAATACACAGTTTTTAATTATGCTGATATATAAATTTTAAAAATCAAACGTTAAACAATGTTTTAATACAGTGCGGTACTATTAATTCTATTTGTTAGAAATGTATGTTATTTAAAAATATTTCTAAAAAGTATGTAGTTAACTCTAAAATTACCATGTCAAAATTAGTTTCCAAAAAAGAAATTACCGATCGTAAAATCAAGATTTATTTGACATTTTTTTCCAAGTATGAGAAGTCATTCTTTATCAGCTTCACCATGGACGACACATTAATTTTATTTACTAGAATCACACTTAATTATGATTGTACATCATTATTATTATAACTACTATTATTACCATTATTTATAAATCATTTTAAGTCCAAACTCTTTAAAATGACAAAGTATAACGATAATTTTCAAATGGTAGTAAGCAGGTCAATAAAGTAATGCGAAAAACAACATAATAGTTATACATACAGTGACTATAATAAGAAAGGTTTATTATAGTGCATGAGGTTTTTGCGTAAAAAAGGGAGAGTCGTGAAAAGCTCTGCATGACGAGGCGAAATATTGACGAGTACATAAATAAAAACATTTTGTTCAAGAAAACCAAGTGCTGTTTCAATGTGGATGTAAACCCTGCATAGTCATTATAATAGATTAAACTTACATATTAGTCTGGACTAGTAGCGAAAGCTCAAATTTAAAGTCAACATATTGATACATAAATTACCGTTTTACAAGATAAAAGAAGCAAAATTAAAGCGATGATTTTAATCTCCTAGGGTGAGACACCTAAGTTTTTTATCTTTAACAAAAAAATAAAACAGCCAGTAGACGTTTTCTTTCCTTCCACCACTGTTCAGTGACTAGGTAAGTACTTTATTCTTGGATGATTGTAGATAGGGCATTCAAAAATAACATGTCTCAAGGACTCTAGTGAGTCTTGGCTACATAAGGTACACTTTTCTGGTTTAGTAGGTTGGTTATAGTCGTACAGGTATAGAAAACTAATTGATTGAAGAGTCTGCTATTAGCGATACATCAGTCTCGAGTCTAGTGATGTAGCCAGAGGTGCAATTAAGTAAGCGAAGTAGCCATTTATAAAAGAGGGTATGAATTTTTTCAAGCTCTCGTATATTTAAGAAACCCCACACGTTGAGATCATAGAGGACGGTACAGGATACTAAGGCATTGAAAAGCTTCACAGCACTGAGCTAATTCTAATTCTGGCGTGCAGTTAAAATATCCCACATTACACCAAGTGCAACTCTGCCTTTGGATAGCGCTGCGTTCACAGCAGGCTCAAGCGATCCTGATGACGAAAACATCACGCTTAAGTATGTAAATTGCTTTACAATTTCTAATTCCTCGTTGCTAAATTTTATTGCTTTCCTTATCTTGGACTTGCCTCCCCCACTAAGTGATATCACAATAGTTTTTTTAAATTAATTTCTAGTTTTTTTAATCTGTAGTATTTTGCAAGAGTATCTAATTTACTTTGCATTTCAATTGCATTTCCAGATAAGAGAATCAGATCATCCACAAAAAGAAACATTTTGATTTGCTTATCAACATTTATTTGGCCTGCACTTTCAAAACACGACACTATTTCATGAATCGGGATAGAGAACAGAAGAGGACTCAAAAAATCGCTCTGAAGAACATGCTGGGTCAACTTAATTGTGCCAGTGCCCGTGGCCAGTGTTAATTTTACTCTCATCTTACAGTCAATTAGTAGATACTCTGCAAAATATTGTTCTCAAGGTAAGTACAGCATCATAGAGCGTTGTCTACGGAGTACTATGATCTACAGAGTCAAAAGCCTTTCTGAAATCTACAAAAATAGAGAATAGCTTTCCTCCTGGCTTGGAAGCCACGGCTGTTGCCTTGTTTGCTTGCAAGGTAAATATGTTGTCAGCACAGGATCTAGCTCTCCAAAAGCCCACTTAGCATTTCGAAAGCAGACTAATAGCTACACTCCATTTAGAAACACGATTTATAATTACTGAGGTAAGAATCTTAAGCATGACGATCATCAGGGTGATCCATCTGTAGTTGACTGGACCTTGCCAAGCTCTCTTCTTGTAAAGAAGACTTAGATCAGAAACACACCAGCTCTCCGGAATTTCTCCTGACTCCAAGATGTCATGTAACATACTCATTAGAAAGACTACTCATCTTATTAGTAAGGCTTTGAAAAATTCAATAGAAATTCTGTCTCGGCCAGGAGCTTTTTCTCGCTTCATTTCTTTGATTACATGAAGCACCTCCAGTACAGATATCTCAATGCCCAGGCGAAGGTGACACGCATCAATAAAAGTGCTTGGTGAATCGTCCCGTGGTGGGTACACCTCTTTATAAAAGCTTCCGTTTTTTTATTTGGATATAGGACAGGAAGTATTTACAGCAGCCAACTTTGTTTGTTGCTGGCTTATAAAGAATTTCTTTTTTTTTTATATAAAATAGTTCAGCCTTCATAATGTATCTGGTCGTTGGACTTTATCGAGTAATGACAAACAAACCGTTGGAAATTTTTTGCCACGCGACAGTCTCCATCGTACCAGGGTTTATCTCTAGTAAGTGCAGGACCATCTCTGAGAGTAATATCTTGCGTCATTTATACTGTACCCGCCATTTTTTTTATAGTTTTAACAAGAAAGTCACTTTTTGAAGACGCGCCTTCTAAGGCCACTATATCCACTTTAAAGAATTCCTCGAAAAATACGTCCATCGCGACAGTTGTAGAAGACCATTTTAATTTGTTAGTCTTCAAGGGTCTGTATTTGTTGTCCCTCACTTTGTGCGAACCCAAGAATACAGTAGGCTAAGTTAAGAAAACAAGAGAAAGGTGATATGAGCTGCCCAAGTCAATCACAGGAAAATCGCTGAAGGTCTCTAAGCCAATGAGATTTTCCAATGTATAGTCAATAAAACTTGAATCTGCATTACCCGCAAAAGTGAAAGCTTCCTGAGGATCTGCGACACTCCTGCCATTCAGCACGGTCAAGTCCAAAATCTCCATCACTTCTTGAAGCTTAAGTCCTTGTTCATTGAACCTCATTACCAAAAAAATCTCATTACACCCCAATAGCCACAAAAACTGCACTAGGTTTTCGTTAACAAGCAACGCCAGGCCTCCACTTGATATGTCTACCGATCATGTCCTGATAGCCAAGCTCTCATGCAAAGCAAAATCAGCAAAACCAGAAGGCAGACCTTTGATCCTATTGCTTGTACACATCACTGAAAGGCCAATTCTGATGTAGTCTATGAGGGGCTCATTAAGCTCCTCGTTGGTAACTTCTGTTAAATGTGTATAACCTTGCAAATTCCAAAATAAAAACTTGTACTTATTTTTGGAGTATATAATATCTGAGCGCATGTAAGATCCATGCAGCTTAATCGTTAACAAAGTAATAATCACCAGCTGATTTATGATCAAAAGGTACGAGGTAAATGGGGTAGGGGAGAGAGGAGCGCGACAGAGGCATTCTTAGTAAGGCCATCCTCTGCCACAACTCTTACCACATCTCTTCAGATTTGGGTAATACCTGTAACTCTCTGCTAACCAACTCACATTAACTGATTCTTATCTCTCAAGTCAGCTGCAATTTTTATCTACTTGCTCAGTAGAATTCTTTCTTTCTTTCTTTCTTTCTTTCTTTCTTTCTTTCTTTCTTTCTTTCTTTCTTTCTTTCTTTCTTTCTTTCTTTCTTTCTTTCTTTCTTTCTTTCTTTCTTTCTTTCTTTCTTTCTTTCTTTCTTTCTTTCTTTCTTTCTTTCTTTCTTTCTTTCTTTCTTTCTTTCTTTCTTTCTTTCTTTCTTTCTTTCTTTCTTTCTTTCTTTCTTTCTTTCTTTCTTTCTTTCTTTCTTTCTTTCTTTCTTTCTTTCTTTCTTTCTTTCTTTCTTTCTTTCTTTCTTTCTTTCTTTCTTTCTTTCTTTCTTTCTTTCTTTCTTTCTTTCTTTCT